ATTACAGGTGTGCGCCACCCAGCATGGTGGTACACACTCATAATCCCAGCACTCCAGGGTCTCAGGCAGGAGGATCACTTTGAGTTCAAGGTCAGCCTGGGCTACATAATGAGTTCAAGGTCAGCCTGAATTGCATAGCAAAATCCTGTCTCAAAGAAAAAAAAGGTGAGGATACTGAGAATAGTTTCAGCACAGAGTAAGCTTTACATTTTTATAAATTTACGCTTCAACTAGTACCTTTGAAAAGATCACAGACAATCACCATTATGAAAGCTATTGAAAGAAGCCTGAAAAGATATTGAAACCATAAGCTTCAATAAATAAACACTGAAGCCGAGTATGGCAGTACACATCTATAATCCTAGCATGCTGGGAGACTGAAGCAAGAGGATTGAAAATTCAAATCCAGCCTGGGAAATTTAGTGACTCAGACACTGTGTGGGGGACTTGGCAAGAGGAATGAATGATTAAAACCATGAAGGCGCTTTCAGGGCAAAACCACGCAGGCTCTGAGAGGAGTGAATGGTTAAACTGTGAAAGGACGTGGGGGGGAAGCACGTGAAACTGTACATAGTGTACTGAGCACAGCACTAGTGGAAAACAAGTCTAGTGAAGTATGTTATGTTTAGCCATTGTCCTTGCCCTTGCACCCATAAACTGCTTGGCCTTGATACAGATCTTTACCTACTCTGTTTTTTGTTTTTTGTTTTTTTTCTCCTGTACTGACATTCTAAGTAAAAGCCAAAGAATTCTTAGTTCAGGACTGCTCCCTTGAGACTCCCTCACATTGGGGTGCTCTCGGGACAGTTCCTCTGGGCCTCTCAGTGTTCAGACCAAATTTCATCTCTGAGTAAACTTTTCATCCTCCATGCCACCGGGGTCACATACTGCAACAGCCCTGACTCAAAAAAAGATAAAAAGACCTGGCCATGTAGGTCATTGTGAAGACTCTGGGTTTAATCCCTAGGACGGAAGATAGATATATGATCTTCACCCCAGATAGATAAGGAACTAGAAGACCAGAGAAGTTGAGGTAGGAGATCAGGGCATGGCAAAGAGGCTGGGCAATTGGGCCTGATGTGTTAAACTTGGAGACCTGTTCAGGGCATGTGCAGAATAAGCTTCTGAGTCCTGCACCTGATACCAATCAGGGAATGCTGCCTTCAACTTTTCTGGCACAAGTTCAAGTTGAGTACTCCACTTGATACCAATCTTCTGGCAGGAGATCAAGCAGGTTTTGGGTAGGACAGCTTAGATATGATGTTGCAGCAGGGGATATAAAGATGGTGGCCTTTCAGCTGGTGGGTGCTGTAAGCCTTTTCACCAGCCTACCCTGCACCCTGTATGCTGTACTTCTTTTCCTACTTTACCTGGCCTACGCTAACTCTGCAGAGTACTTCTTTTTTTACTTCTTCTTTTGCCCTAAATAATTTTTAAACTTTCTTATTCAGTTGCTCTAACTCTGCAGAGTACTTCTTTTTTTACTTCTTCTTTTGCCCTAAATAATTTTTAAACTTTCTTATTCAGTTGCTCTAACTCTGCAGAGTACTTCTTTTTTTACTTCTTCTTTTGCCCTAAATAATTTTTAAACTTTCTTATTCAGTTGCTCTAAGTCTTTCTTTTTCTTTTTCTTTTTGTAATGGGAATCAAACTCAGGACCTTGCACTTGCCCGGCAGGCACTGTTCCACTGAGCTGTCTCCCCAACTATTGTTCTAAGTCTTTAAAAGGGCACTAAGAGCCTGGAAAGGACCAACTGGACACTACAATATGTACCTAGTCACAGATCTTGCGAGCCAGCCTGGAAGTAACAAATGGAGTCAGAGAGAGGTAGAGCGTTTGGGCAGTTTTGTTCCTTTCTAAAGTCTATGAACTCAAGCAGAGAAGGACTAGTTCAGTTGTTTTCTTTCCCTCTCTCTCTCTCTTAGGAAGGTCTCAATCCTTTCCCAATACTCTTCTTGTCCTTTCTCTCTCAGGACAGGTTTTCCGGTTGCTGAGAGAACAGAGATCTAGAGGTTGGTAAAAACAAAAAAATTAGAGGAAGCTGGGAACCCCCAGTCCCACCAGCAGCCCCAAGAGGGGGAGCTGACAGGGCATGGAGTGGGAAGCCCATAGTGGTTCAAACCCACTGAGCTGTGGCCCCTTTAAGGCTTGACTTCTGTGCAAGTGTCCCTGGACAGGGTGGTCTGTGAGTGGCATGAAGGCCCATCCAAGTGCCCAGGTGAGGTAAGACCCTTGGAGAGAGGGAGGGAGCCATGCTC